AAGTGCTGGAATTAAAGGCATGTGCCACCATGCCCGGCCATCTTTCTTTATTTTTATGTGATAAATGTTTTGCCTGCACGTGTGTAAGTGCACCTGTGTTGTGCAAGGCCATGGAGGCCAGAAGAAGGCTTCATATCCCCAGAAACTGGAATTATGGATGGTTGTTAACCACCTTGTGGGTACTAGGAATCGAACCCTGGTCCTCTGGAAGAGCAGCCAGTACTCTTAACCTCTGAGCCATCTCTCCAGCCCCCAATCACTTAATTTTTTTTAAGGAGGCACATCAGTCAGGGGGTCTTCCTTGATGCTCCCAAAACTTCATGCACCAAGGAACATACCACATGGAAAGTGAAAGGTAATTTCCACCCAAGCTGAGAACACTGTGTCTGTTCTACCTGAACAATCTCAGTGTCTGGCCTATTTTGTGGTACAGGTACAACTCAGCAATGCTCAAAGAATTCACTGAAGAAATGGTTGAGAGAAACCAGTACAGTGGTGCATGCCTAGAGTTCCAGCACTCAGAAAATGGAGGCAGGAGGAACACACATCCAAAGGCTGTCCTTAGCTACACAGAGAGTTGAGGCCACCCTGGGCTACATGAGCCCCTGTCTAAAAAAGAATAGGAGGCAGGTGTGGTGGCACATGCCTTTAATCCCAGCACTTGGGAGGCAGAGGCAGGTGGATCTCTGTGAATTCGAGGCCAGCCTGGTCTACATAGCGAGTTCCAGGTCAGCTGGGGCTTCAGGGAGACCTTGTCTCAAAAAAAACCCAAAAAACCCCAAAAAACAAAAACCACTTTTCATCATTTTATTGTTCTAGGGATTTCTAAATCAGTCTTCATTTTGGCACTATTTGAAATAGTGAAATTTTTAAAACAGTAATAATGAAAAAAAATCCATATGGAACTGGTTAAATATGATCATGAAACATTTGTGTTGTATAATATGACATCGTTTTTAAAAATATTTTATTGTTTTTTATTTTTATTTTATGTGTATGTGTGTATTGCCTGCATTAGGTAAGTGCACCTGTGCCGTGCAATGCCCTAGGAAGACAGAAGAGATCATCGGATCCCCTGGAGCTAAAGTTACAGACAGTTGTGAGCTGCCATGTGGGTACTGGGATTCGAACCCAGGTCTTCTGCAAGAACAGTCAGTGTTCTTAACTGCTGAGCCATCTCTCCAGCCCCATGACATTGTTATTAAGAAGAACACAAGGGTCTTGTAGATAGTAGCATTGGTCATAATAGCCAAACTAGTCCATCAACTTATGAGTGGAAAAATAAAATGTTATATCCATATGCTAGAATATTATTTGGAGAGATGGCTCAGCAGTTAAGAGCACTGACTGCTCTTGCAGAGGACCTGGGTTCAATTCCCATCACCTACATGGTATCTGTGAACCATCCTGAACTCCAGTTTCAGGGGAATCCGAAGCCCTCATCTGACCTCTGCGGCATTGCATGACACAGGTGATCTCACACACATGCAGGCAATACACTCCTACACACAAAATTAAAAAAAAATAATTTGGGGGGGATTCTTTTTGAGACGGGGTCTCCCTGTAGCCCCAGCTGGCCTGGAACTCCTTATGTAGACCAGGCTGGCCTCGAACTCACAGAGATCTGCATGCCTCTGCCTCCCGAGTGCTGGGATTAAAGGTCTGAGCCACCATGACTGGCTAAATAAAATATTTTTTTTTAAAAAAAGAATATTATAACTGGGCATGGTGGTGCATGCCTTTAATCCCAGCACTTGGGAGGCAGAGGCAGGCAGATCTCTGTGCGTTCAAGGCCAGCCTGGTCTACATAGTGAGTTCCAGGACAGCTGGGGCTACAGGGAGACCCTGTCTCAAAAAGACCAAAACAAATTTTTTTTGGTAATAAAAAAGGAATAAATTATTGATAAATGTTACAGTATGGAAGTGCCTTGAAACTACACTAATTGAAAGAAGTTGTTTTTTAGACAAAGTCTCATGTAGCCCATATTAACCTCAAACTCATTATGTGGCCAAGGATGATCTTGAATTTCTAATCCTCCTGCCTCCAGCTCCCAAATTTTGGAATTACAGGTGTGTGCCAACATACCCAGTTTATGGGATGCTGGGTTCAAACCAGGGCCGTGTGCATGCTAGGCAAGCACTCTAACAACTGAGCTACATCCCCCGCCCCCAAACAGGCATATCTACAGATGGAAAGTAGATTTATGATTGCCTAAGGCTGTGGGGTTGAGCAAGCGATATAGATGACTGTTAACTGTTAATGGGTAGGGAGTTTTTTTATGAATGATGGAAATGTTCTAAAATAGATTGTGCTGATAGTCATACAACTCTATGAATACCCTGTAAAAAGTTGTGAAATGGGGCTGGAGAGATGGCTCAGCGGTTAAGAGCACTGACTGCTCTTGCAGAAGACCCGGGTTCGATTCCCAGCACCCACATGGCGGCTACAAGCCGTCTTTAACTCCAGTTTCAGGGGAATCCAAGCCCTCTTCTGACCTCCACAGCATTGCACGACACAGGTGCACTCACATACATGCTGGCAATACACTCATACACATTAAATAAATAAAATGTATTTTTTTAAAGTCATGAATTGTGCTGGGCGTGGTGGTGCACACCTTTAATCCCAGCACTCGGGAGGCAGAGGCAGGAGGATCTCTGTGAGTTCAAGGCCAGCTTGGTCTACATAGTGAGTTCCAAGACAGCTGGGGCTACAGGGAGACCCTGTCTCAAAAGGACAAAAAAAAAAAAAAAAAATCATGAATTGTGATGTAAATTAAATTGTATGCAAGTCACTTAAAAAAAAATAGAGAAGGGCCAGAGAGATGGCTCAGTAGTTAAAGGCACTTATGGCCAAGACTGACAGCCAGAGTTCAAATCCCCAGGACCCACATGGTAGGAGAGAACTGACTCCCCAAAAGGTGTCTTCTACCCCTCCACATGTAAGCAATGGTGATGCATGTATTCATACAAGATATATCAATTAATAAAATTAAATTTAAATAAAACAAATGGAGGTGAGCTGGAGACTGCTCAGTCACAGAGCACTTACCTAGCATGCACAAGACTGTACCTCGACTTGATCCGAAGCACTGCAGGGTGGGGGAGATGGGTAAGATCTGCATTTCAAGACATATTGTTAGGAATAAAAATCACATTTCAGAATAGTAGGTATAATACGCTCCTCTTTTTATTTATAAGAAATATATATGGACAGAGAGAGATAGCTATTATTATAAACATAAAAAAGGTATGTAATGGTCCACATCAAGCCATTCACAAGTCATCTCTCAATGGTCAGATTCATGCACAGGGGGTTTCATGTTTTATTGAATATGCTTTTAGCATTTACTACAAGTATGTCCTGCTTTGGACATTTTAAACAAGGAAGGTGAAAGTACATAGGGCCCACAGAAGGTCCTGGAGCCCACAGCATTCAAGTCAGAGGAGGGGGCTCCCAAGAGGCTAAGACAGTTCTGCATGTCCAAGAACAGTCCCGTGTTCCCGCCCCCCCCGCCCCGCCAGGAGGGAGAGCAGGGCTTTCAAGCCTGGATTTCTTCACTTCCCACCCCATGTACGTATGACCCAGAGGCTGACCCCAGGGGAGAAATTATTTCATGTTCACTAGATGAAAAACTCACTCCCAGTGAACTTAGGATTCAGAATGTAAAAGGTGCCTCAGTCACTGTCCATTACAGCCTGTCTCTGCCCAGGCCACTCCCTGAAGGCCAATGGACCTTTCAGCATCCCACCTGCTTTACTGCTCCAAAAGCCTCACAGGCCACACATTGCATTTCCTTAGTTGTGGAGAGTGGTCCAAAAGCATATTGAAAGAGCCACTCCATTCTGTCTCACAGTACCCCACAATGTGATTCCATCATATGGGTGGGCCTTGCTTTGTTGACCAGCCCCCTCTAATAGTCATTTAGCTTGCTTCCCTTTCTTTTACAGATCCACAGTTTCTGTACCTAAACCATTGAGATCACAGAAGACAGATGAAATACTTTTTAAAAGAAAGTAATTCTGTGCATATTCCATGCTATAGGATCAAGAGCAGTGTCCCGTAATTAAAAACTGATATTTTCACCTACCTGAGCATAGTGGTATACACATGTGATCCCAGCACGCAGGAGGCTTAGGCAGGAAGATGACAAGTTTGAGACCAGCCTGGGCTATCTAGCAAGACCTTGTGTCAAAAGACTTTTATTCCACTGAAAATAAGTATAATAAATGGAATAAATAACTATTATAAACAATTTACCATGGCTTTTTGTTTTTTTGAGAACAGAGTCTTACACTTAGCCTAGGCTGGCCTGGAACTCACTGTGTAGCCCAGGCTGGCCTTGAGCTCTCAAATATCCTCCTGCTTCAGCCTCCTAAGTACTGGGATTACAAGTGTGAGTCACCAACCTGGCTTTCTTGTGAGGCTTTGATACCAAATGAACTTTTATCGCACAAATAAAAACACAGTTTTCAGAACTTCTTGTGTTTCAGATTTGCAGACAAGGCTTTGCAGAGTGATACAATGGATAACTTTGGCCACATGTAGTTTTGCAAGTATAGACGTATATCCATGGGATAAACTAGGCTCAGTGAGGCTGTTACAGGCTCCACTCACTGGTGGCTGGGGCAGATTTGGCTATGTGATCATTGCCTGTGAGATGCTATACCTAATAGCTCTCTAAACACTGCCACTTCTGATATCTTTAGGGCCATTAAAAACAAAAACAAGCTTGCTTCCTTCCTGCCTTTTTGTACCAAGCCAAATTTAGAGTCCTTAACCTTCAGCAGACAATCAGGGGTCTGAGCACAGGGATCTGAGCACAGGAGGGTCCCCTTCCACCCGTGTGACCCTGTACTGGACCTGAGCTTTCCTCCTCTGTACAGACAATGTCTCTACCCACTTGACACCATCCTGCATCTTCTCTCCATCCATCCTCACCCTCGAAGGCTGGGTTTTACCCTACCCTCCCTAAAGGGAAGAACAGTCCAGGCCAATAGAAAGGTCCACAGGCTTTTTAATGGTGTGATGGCTACTTCCCTTCTGAGACCCAATCTAATCATGACAGCGGCTTCCAGGGTGTGGGTGTGGGAGGAGTGGGCTGGTGCAGGGCGGGCAGAGGCCATGCAGTGACTGGGAAGGGTGGGGAAGGGGTGTTACATTCTGTTTGGCGTGTAAACATTCTTCTGTTGCTTCCCAAGGAGGAGGGCAGCTCCCTGTCCCCCTACCCCCCATGCCCAAGGGGCTGAGAAGACTAAGTTAGGCCTTTGTGAGGAGCTGGAAGCCAGAGACCCATGTGCCCTGGGGCAGCCCCCCCCACCCCCCGCAGTAGTGCACCTGGAGAGACAAGGTGTGTTAAGGTAAGCACACCTGCACATCTGAACCAATGACATTAGGTGGTCAGGATGGGGAGGGAGGGAAGGTGGTGTGGTATGACACTCTCATAGAGGAAGGACTAAAGATCTGGAGGGCCTGGTGCAGGGGATGGGAAGGCTGTAGCTGGGGGTGAGGGCCCTGGGACATGTGGTTTCCTCAGCCCTGGGTCCTTCCTAGGGAGAGGAGTCCTCTAGCCACCTGCCTCTGCTAGCCTCTTTCCCTCTTTCCCCCAGTCTGATGACATTCAGTGACTTGAGGCCCGAGGTCTGTTGGAACCCTAGCGAGGTTTAGAATCCCAAGAGTGGACTGGGTTTTGCATCTCTGCCAGCTCCAGCTCTGGGTGAAGCTGAGGGTAGGATGGGCCTGAGGCTCTCTCAGGCCTCCCCTTCCTCCCAACTCCAAACCAGGGTGTTGTTGATCCTACAGCAGAGATGAGGCTGGAAGGGGCCCTACATTCATGGTTCGGTTGGTGGCAAGGAGCAGGCCCAGGGGTCATGCCCTGGTCCCCACCTGGCATGAGCTGATTGTCATTCAGAGAAGCTCTAAGTGGGAGGGAGTTGCCCCTCCACCGCCTCTGCTGGACCAGAGGGCAGTAGAGGGTCTTAGGAGGGCCTCAGGTTGACAGAGAGGGCTGTGTCTGGAGAGGTTTCCTGAGTGTTCTGGGAGCTTCTGCATCAGCGTGGGATGAACCTCGAAGGCTTATCCACCCCAGATTCCTCCCCGATTGGTCTGCATGGACATAGAAGCAGCCTCTTGGGCCTGCTGACTCTCCATGAGGGGTTCAGCTGTTCCTAAGCTGTTCCCAGGCCCGCTTCTTTTTGGGCATCCTTCCAACTGATGGAGGATGAATGTGGCCAGACCGCTGGTGTGCAGAGCCTTCCTTCCTCTTCCCCTGGATGTCCTGGCTTGCTCTCTGTGGCTCAGGGAAGGGCACAGGGGCTGGGCCAGGGGGCAAAGGCTGTGGATGCTGAGGATGGAGGAGGTTGCAGGGGTTCCCTGTCCCAGATAGGTGGGGTTGGCTGTCCATTTCGCAGCCAGTGTGCTGCTTTGTCCCGATGTAGGCAGCTGAGGTTCCTGATGAGGTGGTGAGCTAGGCAGAAGCCAGAATGCAGGAGGAGGTCCCATGTCCAAGACAGAGCAGCTCAGCTCAGCTGCCAGGGCTGGCTCAGGGCGGAAGGGATTGGGCTGAAGGGTGAGCTGAGGGAATAATGGGCACCATCTGGGTTCACACAATCTGAAGTGAGAAGGGCCCTTCTGCCTCCAGGGGCCAGTCTGCCTGGTCCTGCTCCCTCTGCCCACTTGGGGACACGATGCCTGGTCCAGCCTACTCCTCACAGCCCACACCACACAGAGGGTGACCTGGGCTAGAACCCAATCTCTAACAACCAACCACTCTCCACCTGCATGGAACTCAGGAGAAAGGAGTGTTAGCTGAAATTGAGGTTAGATGTCAGGAAGGAATTCCTGATGGGAAGGGGTCCTGAGCACTCCACCAGGGGACCAAAGAGAGTGAAACCTTTTTAAAGCCCCCTTCCAAATTCGCACTGGGAAACACTTGCCCAGGAAAGCAGGGGCCCACTTCCTGTGGTGTTGAGGCCCCACCTATTCATACCCAAGAGAGAGGTTTAGGTACCCCAGCGGTACAAGGGAACGACCCCTTCCCAAAAATCACATGACACTGCCTCTCACAAAGCTGACTTTGGCAAAGCCAGAGGTGTCCCCTCAAGCCGAAGTAGACCAATAGCCCCTGGGGTCCCACCTCCCCAATCTTGGCTTGGCCCTCTGTGACCACCATGGCTTGCCCCCAGGAGACTCCTGGGAGGCTGAAGCCTGGACTTCTGGCGTTTGAGGCCGTTTCTCCCAAAAGGAGGGGAAGTCAGAGGGCTGGCTGGAAGAGAGGGTCAGGAAGAGGGCAAGGCCAGCGCAGGAGGTGGAAGCAGGTGGAAGCCCCCTCGGGTAGAGGGCACAGAGAGCAGCCAAGGCCTGGTGGGTGAAGGGGACTTCCCCAGAAGCGGAGTCCTCGGTGAAGAGTGGCTGAGCCTTCCCGGGGCAGAGGGTCTGCTGTGAGCCTGTCCCCCGCAGAGGGGTGGCCGGAGGAAGGCAGGAACGCAGAGAGAGGACCAGGATGCGCACCCTCCCGGGTCAGCTGCCTGGTGGGTCCTGGACGGTGAAGGCGGGAAGCTGGGGCCGCGGTGGCGCGCGTCGGGCGCGTAAGGCTGTGCTGGGAGATGCTCCAGTGTGGCCGGCTGCGGGTGGGGACCGGGGTGAGGGTGGGGGGCCGCAGAGAGCCGCGGGCATCATTATCTGGTCCCGGGCCGGCCCTCCCAGACCGCCGCCCGGCCTTTGGTTGCTGCGCGCTGAGTCTGCAGTTGTTTCCCTCTGGGTCCTTTCTTGGGGGGCCCTGTAGAGGGGGTACCCTCAAGCTGAGATCGGGCCTGAAGGCCCCCCCGGGAAGGAGGAACCCCAGGCCGGGCTTGGTGCGAGGGGGAGGGGCTCTCTTTGCGGGACAGGGACTGGCTCCGCGGGGACCCGCTGGGGTGGCGCGCGGTGGAGGCGGAGATGCCGGGACTGCGGGACGCTGCCGGCCTGGAGACTTGGCCTCGACCTGGGCCGGAGCCCCGGACGGCTGGCTGCTTGGGACGGAGGTCAGCAACCCCTGAGGGCTTCTGCAGCTGGAGCGGGCTGAGAAGCAGAAGGCAAGAGAAAGAGGAGGGTAAAGAAGCAAAAGAGGAGGCAAGTTTTCAGAATGCTCTTGGCAATTGAGTCCTAGAGACCTGGGTCCTCGGAGCTGGATGAGGTGGAAGAGACCAGGCACAGACCCCGTGCTCCTTTCCAGCAGTGAGGGGCCTTTAGGGTTAATGCTGGAGGAGCCTGCCAGCAAGCTTTCCTTAAGGGTCTTGTTCCATCTTTGAAACTCTCGTGGGTTGCATTCTAATCTATAATATACTTGTGTTAATAGTAACATGAAATGCTGTTTCATGCCAGTTATTAAAGCTCTGGGGCTTATCCTTCAGCTTCAAATGCCTTATGGCATATGGGAGGTTGTGGGTGGGCACCACTGGTCTCTAGAGACCTTTCCCAAGCCTGGCCTCCAGGGTCTCCCCTCTAGTTGCCCTGTTACTATTCTCTTGAGCCAAGTGACACAGCTGAGTCACTTGGGTCTTAAGTCTAAAAGTGCCCAGCTGGGAGATGGCAGACCAGAGAGGTAGCTGAGGGTGCTGTAGCCTAACCTTGCCTCTGGGAAGTCCCTGGAAACCTGTGGTCACTCTGCCCACCCTGGGGCTGGCAAGGGTTTCTCACCTGCTGGTGATGGCCGAGTCAGAGGCTAGGGCTGCACCATGCGGTCTGCTGGAAGGTTGCTGGGCTTCAGCAGGCATGGGCATACTGATGGGGCGGGGAATACGGCTCCTGGTGGTCCCTGTCCCCCGAGCCTTCCTAGATAAGGCTGCCGTGGGCTCTGAGGCAGGCGTGTCCTCCTCAGAGCCAGTGCCTGAGAGTGTCTCAGAGGCACGGCGCTGCTCCTCACTGGAGGAGGATGAGGCTCCTGAGGCCAGCCGCAGCAACAGGCGACCCTGCCTCTTCTCCATCACCAACCGGGCCAGGTCCTGCTGTGGCCTAGCCCGCTTGTTCCACCGCTCTTTGGCCGACAGAGAGCCAGAGGGCTCTGAGCCCGTATCTTCTTCTGACAACAAGACAGGAATACGGCTCCTGGGGAGAGGGCCTGGCATAGCACGGCGGCTGGGGGAGAAGGTGGGCCCTTTCTTAGGGACTGGTTCCAGTGGGGATGCTGGGACAGGCCCATCAGTAAGGGCTGGGCCATTGGGCAGTGAGTCTGTGACCACTTCTGAGGGTATTTCCCCAGGAGGACCAGTCAGGGCACTACTCTGTATCTCAGCTGTCTCCAGCCCTGACAGGGCCATGCCATTCTCCAGAGGCACTGGGGCCCTCTCCTCTGCAGTGGCCCCCTCAGAGAGGACCTCCAGACCCAACTCTCCCCCAGTGCTGAACTCCTCCGGCCTGGAGGCTTGTCCTCTGGAAGACATAACATTGAGGTGGGTTTTTTCTGCAATGTGCACAAAGGTCCTCTCAACTTTGGTGAAGGGTGAGGAGGTGACTGCCACACCCCCAGACCCCGTGGCTCCCGGCCCAACCCCGAGCCCTGCTCCAGACCCTGAGGGCTTGGCTTCAGATTTGAGGACAGAGGACAGGGTGCCTGGCTCCGATACGTCCAGCTGGCTTCCGGTAGGCTGGGGCCGTTCGTGCTGAGGGGTGAGGGCAGCCAGGGTACCCAGGTCTGGGTCAGGGGCCAGTTCGGCAGTGACTGGCGACTTCTTCATGTCACCAGGGGAGACAAGCACCAGCGTTTTGGAGCCCTCCTCAGGCTCCAAGTCCCCATCAGCCATGGAGGCCCGACCCCTGGACTCCTTCTGGTCATCAGCCAGCAACGTGGATGGGGCACCCTCCTGGCTCCGGTCAGTGCTCCTCTCGCTCCCCTCACTGCTAGAGCCACTGTGAGGCCCCAGCACCTCCCCAAGGGCCCCTGCCTCCTCTTCCTCCTCCTCTTCTTCCTCCCCCTCTTCCTCTTCCTCCTCTTCTTCCTCTTCTTCCTCTTCCTCCTCCTCTTCTTCCTCTTCCTCCTCTTCTTCCTCCTCTTCCTCTTCCTCTCCATCCTTCCCATTTGCCTGAGGCTGAAAGGGAGTCAGTGGGACCTGGGGGGTGGTGAGCAGCATGTGGGAGAAGCCCACCCTCCGGACCCTGTTGAGCAGCCGTGCCCGTTCTCGGTAATCAGAGAGGTCTCTCTTGAAGTCCTGGTAGGGCAAGCTCAGAGGCACAGCTCGTGGGAGGCCATTCACCTCAAACGGGGGCGCCACAGAGAACACCTGCAAGGGGCACACACAGGGACCCACTGATGTCATGCACCCTCTTGGACCCGAGGAAGCCTCACCTGCACCCCAAGCTGAGAGACTCCCATTCCCCAGGGACATCCACCAGACTAAAAGCTCCACAAAGGTAGGCACTGGGTCTGTTTTGTTTACTGCCACGGTCTCAGGTCCTAGAATGGCCTCTGGCACCTAGTAAATGCTCAGAAAACCTCTGAGGGCCAAGGTACAGATCCTAGCCAATTTTTTGTCTCCCTGCCTTCTCCTTCCCCTCACTGTACACATTCTGAACCTCGGAGCCAACCTTAGAGTTTAACTGGTAACAGAAAATACGAGAATCAAAAAGTACCACCATTCAGATCAGCTCTTCTTTTATACGTGACCAGACAGGAGGCTCTGAGTCACTCACTGAGATGGGTTGTGCCCACAGATGGTTAGCTGCTCCTCTGCAGTGTCAGAGCTGGCTGCCCAGGGCCTGGGGACCCATTAGGGATGTCATCTCTCCAAAGTGTACAGTCCAGATCTCTAGAGCTCCAACTTTCTTCCCTCCTGTGGTCTGGGACTTAATCTCAGTTTTCCTTTGTGAAACCTTATTCAGAGCCCTTAGCAATGCGACCATGGCCAAACTCTACTTTTATACTCTCATCACACCCTGTCTTTGTCTCTTCACTTCTAGGATAGAAAGGCTCGATCTTCTCAGGACCAACTGTCTCCTTCACCTACTTGGTCCCTTCTCTGACTCCACCCTGTCTACTCTACAGACATCCCCAAGCACCCACAATGCACCTGACCTACCAGGGTAGTACAGGTTTGTTCCAGTGGGATGATGCTCAGTGTCCAGCATTTTGTTAGCCTTTTTGAATACAGTGGGCCTCTGTCTTCCTGAACCAACAGGACACAGCCCATTCAGACCAGAAGCTGGGGCAGAATAATTCTGGCACCTTCAATTCCATAGCCCCATTTAACCATCTCTGTGTCTTCTCCCTGAGGCCTTCCATGGTCTTTGTCCTGTTTGTCCAGTAGTCCCCAGATACCAGCCTGTTATCTCCTTCCTGATATCATCACTTATCCTTACAGCTGCCAGAGTGAACTTCCTAAAACTTAGCTGATTCCATCTTTCTCTGCAGTGATCCCCCTCAAATGACAGTTCCTATTGGCCTGGCACAGGAGCAACCTTCCACCACCACTATGCTTGGCTCCTACCTTCTCCCTTAGCATCACTTACTAAAGCACCCATGAGTGCCCATCATATGCTCCAGCATCTCCCTGGGTGTGTCATGCATCTCACACTTTGCCCCAGCAGTTTCCCTACCTAGGACAGGATCCTCCTCACCCCCTGTGCTGGATAGCTTTAGTGTCAACTTGACACACCTGGGTTGAGGGAGCCTCAAATGGGGAATTGCCTCCATTGGACTGACCTGTGGCCATATCCATGGGGCGCCTTCTTGATGGTTGAGTGATGTTGGAGGGCCCAGCCCACTATGGGTGGTGCCACCTCTGGGCAGGTGGGCCTGTGTTGCATAAGAAAGCAGGCTGAGCAGGGGCCAGGGGAGCAAGCCAGTAAGCAGCATTCCTCCATGGCCTGTGCTCCAGCTCCTGCCTCCAGGTTCCTGCCCTGAGTTCCTACCTTGGGCTCCCTGATGAACTGTGACCTGGGAGATGTAAGCTGAATAAACCCTTTCCTCCCCAAGTTGATATTGGTCAGTGTTTTGTTACAGCAATGGAGAAACAAACTAGGACACCCCCTCTATTCACATTTGATAAATCCCTGCTCTCTTTAAACAGCTCCTCTTCTGCAAAGTCACCCTACTCACCCACCAAGCAGACTTCATTAGCTCTCCTTTCTGTATGCCCAACCTACTATTCTCTGTGCATGTGTTTGTGTGGTTCTTTCTCCTGTAAACCAAGCCCCTAGAGGGTTTGTTGTTATCATTCATTCATTCATTCAAAGAATCCTTAACTGGGTGTAGTGATACATGCATGTAATCTAAGCACTTGGGAGCAGAGTTCTGAAGATCAGGGAGTCAAGGCCAGCCTCAGCTACACAGGTGAGTTTGAGGCCAGCCTGGGCTACATGGGACTATCTTTTTTAAAGGCAGGGGGTGGGAGGGAGATGGTTCAATTGATAAAGTACTTGCAACCCAAGTTTGAGCCCTAGGACTCGTGTGAAAAGCCAGATATGGTGGTGTGTACTTATAATCCCAGTGCTGGGGAGATGAAGATGAGTGGACCCCTGGAGCCAGCTGGCCAGTCAGCTTAGTCTAGTCTGCAGAAGAAGCCCTGTCTCAGAAAACAAAGTTGACTGCTGCATCCAGTATGGCAGGGCTAAGAGAATCCTCAAAGAGGGACAGCACAGCATGAAGGAAAAACAAACATGTAATACGAATTTCAAGCGTGGAGGATCAGGAGGCTCTCTGCTGAGGGACAGAGGCCCAGGGCTCCTGTTCCACTGTATTTATTGCTTTAATGTGCATAGCCAGGGCAAACAATGTAACTTTTATTCACTGTAATCAATCTTGAGAAAACTTCCGCAAGACTTCAAGATACGTTATTTTGAAGAAAAAAAAAAAATCTGCTTACTACAATGAAGGTTAGCTAACTGTAACAGGGCAACATGACCAGTGATCAGGGTGTTATTTCTTCATATAATTTGGAGTGGGGCACTGCATTCCTTTGTCTGCCTCAGCACACATGCCTATCAACCCTTGCCAGGTTGACATTCTTGAGTGGAGGTGCTGTTAGGTGTGGTCAAGCATGCTTTCAGCAGAATTTAGGTAAAGCAGTGGTCTCCAACAATGAGCAGCTCCTGAGAACGACCCTGGGGAACACACACACACACACAGAGGCACACATATGCAAATACACACAAAAGTGTCCATATACAAAGTGTCTGGTTGCTAAATTTAGGCTAAGAATCTATATGGGGCTGGTGAGATGGTTCCATGGATTAAGACACTTGCTGCTAAGCCTGACAACCTGAGTTCAATCCCCAGGACCCATATGGTAGAAAGAAAAGAACTGACAAACTGTGTTCTGACCTCCACATGTGCACCATGGCATGTGCAAACCAACCCCAACACACACACACACACACACACACACATACACACACAAATAAAAATAAAAACTAAACATAATAAAAGCTTTTAGAAAAGAATCTGTATGGGTCAGGTATTGAATAAGACAGATGTGGCTTTGTCTTCAGGAATCAAGGATCAGGGAATGAGGGATAATGGGCATTTCTCAAAGATCTAAGCATAAATAAGACACATAAGCAATGGGCCTGCAGATGCTCAAAGAATGTGAGTTCCCTCCCACCACTACCTCCTCCCACCTGCTCTGCTCAGGCTAGTTTGGAGATCACTGCCCCTTCCAACCTCAGCAGAGCCTGAACACCACAGCTATGGGGATGGGCAAAGGAGAAGCCCAGGCTGTGGCTTCAGTACAGATAGCACTAAGGCTGGCATAGGATGAGCCAGGAAATTCCAAGACAAAGCCTCTGTCAAAGATGTGACCTCCTCCCCAGTTTCCTTATCATCCACTGTCTGTCAGGACTTGATGAGAGAAAGCGGTAATGCAAGGCAGGGTAGCCTTCAGCTGAGTATAGTCGTGCATGCCTGTAGTCTTAGCACTCAGGACACTAAGGTAGGAAGACTACTGTGAGTTTGAGGTCAGCTTGGGCTATGTAATGATACTCTATCTTAAAAACACCAAAAAGGGGGGATGGAGCTAGGGAGATGTTCGGTGGATAAAGTGTTTCCTGGAAAAGCCTGAGGACCTGAGTTTGGATCTCTAGCACTTAGACAAAAAGCCAGTGTGTAATGACACATACCTGCAGTCCTAGCAACTAGGAAGCAGAGGTAGGAGGATCCTACCTCCACTTTGATGGAGCTGCCTCTTTTTCAACAACATTCGTTTATTCTTATTTCACCCATTCATTCAGTAAATGTTAAGTACTAACGTGTGGCAGGCCTAGGGCTGCAGTGCTTTGCCACATCCAGAGTTACAGATGCAGAAAACAGCTGGCCAAGTGGAGAAGGCTTCTTTAAGCTTTGGGTGATGAAAATCAAGGGACAGGTTGACTGCACTGAGAACCAAGAATAGGAAAACAGTAGGGTGCTATCATCCCCCCGACCCTACCCCACCACACCTCCTGCCCAGCATGGATGCCCCTGGGCTCCACCACATCACCACTGCTCTGAAGAACTTCTGCCAATTTTTCCTGTCCCATCTCTGAGATCTTGATGCTTCTGTAGAACTACCTGGATCTTTCTAGAAAGTCTCATCTAGAGAATAGGATAAGCCCCTCCCCACCAGTGACCAATGGTGGATAATCACAAGTAGAACATTCTCTCCTTCCATCTCAAGGCCCTTTCCTCTTGTTATTTGGGAAAGAGAACCACCTGGGCCACTGAGGCCTGGCGAGAGCACCAAACCAGGCATTGGCCAAATCAGGAAATGCATTGACTAGGGCAACCAGGACTCAGAACTTGCCTTGCCTCACCATTTTGCCACACAGATGAACAGGGGCCATCTGGCCCTTTGAGAAGAAGGGCTGTAAAGCTCAGAATGGGACTAGCTTTGCCAGCAGGATCAGGACCACCTACACCAGGCTCTGCATAATGGATTTTCTGTTCGAAGTTCCCCTGCCTCGCTCCCATCTGATTCTCTCCTAGGAAAGAGCAGAGCCTGCATTCAAGTTCCCCCTCCCTCAGATAGGAGCAGAGCCATTTCCCTGCCTCTCCTGGACACCCAGTGAGCTGTTTGCTCTCTTGATCTTGTTTTCATTCATAGTGGCTGGTAATCTCTGGGTACTTTCTGCTTTTCTCTTTTGTTTGTTTTATTTTGAGACAAGGTCTCATTTGTAGCCCTGGCTGGCCTGGAATCCTCTTTATAAACCAAGCTAGCCTCAAACTCACAGAGATCCACCTGCCTGGCTTCAGGTGTGCTTGGCCCTGGAGGCTGCTGTGGGAGGGTCACAGCAGTGACCCTACCCCCAT